TATTTAAAAATATTTTTTATTTATTTTTAACTGACTGTTTTTTATGACTGTTGATTCGTCCGGCAAGGAATGTGTCAAAATAGAAGTGTGATTTTAATAGCTTTTCGTGTTAATATTTTGTTTTAATATTTTCACGCTATTTTCTCTTAAACTATTCGTTCTTTGATAAGCGTTTCAGAATATTAATAAACATTCTACTTTAATATATTAGAAAAAATATTTTAAGTAAAAAAATATTTAAAAATATTTTTTATTTATTTTTAACTGACTGTTTTTTATGACTGTTGATTCGTCCGGCAAGGAATGTGTCAAAATAGAAGTGTGATTTTAATAGCTTTTCGTGTTAATATTTTGTTTTAATATTTTCACGCTATTTTCTCTTAAACTATTCGTTCTTTGATAAGCGTTTCAGAATATTAATAAACATTCTACTTTAATATATTAGAAAAAATATTTTAAGTAAAAAAATATTTAAAAATATTTTTTATTTATTTTTAACTGACTGTTTTTTATGACTGTTGATTCGTCCGGCAAGGAATGTGTCAAAATAGAAGTGTGATTTTAATAGCTTTTCGTGTTAATATTTTGTTTTAATATTTTCACGCTATTTTCTCTTAAACTATTCGTTCTTTGATAAGCGTTTCAGAATATTAATAAACATTCTACTTTAATATATTAGAAAAAATATTTTAAGTAAAAAAAATATTTAAAAATATTTTTATTTATTCTTACTCTTCTTCTACTGATTGCGCGTTACACGTGAGCGGATAACCTTCTGACAAAAACACGTATGTAAGAAATGTCAAGCTGTCAAAATATCACTTCAGTTTTGACACATTCCCGCTTGCCTGATGAATCAACAGTCATGAAAAACGATCAGCTAGAAACGGACACGGCTGGTTGGAATTTTCTAGTGATTATCAATCTATAGTGAATGCTATGGCATCAATGTAACTGAGTGTACATTATTGTGTTTCAATGATACGGCTTATATCGAATATCGATCTTCAGCAAATGTACTTATAAACGCGATGCTTTTATCTTCTTCCCTCGCTCCGATTCGTGCTATTATTCAAAACGATGACCGCTCAATGCGTTTCATACGACGCTGCACATTGTGATGCGGTGTCTGCCGCGCGACATTAATTCCTTTCCTCGCAAGAGAGGAGGAGGTTTAATTTTTTTCGATATTCGCTTTGACATGTGGCATTGCTGAAAACGACGTTCGCTCAATGTGCTTCACTGAGCACCGCAGTGTAGTGTCTATCGCGTGACTCTAAGTACTTCTCCTTGTCGAGAATCAGTGCGATTTACATCTAAGCATGCACTGTAATGTGACGCTTTGCCAGAGTCTGAAATATACGCTCGCCATTGTCCAGCGATTAGCTATTGTCTAGGTCCACATCAGTCCAGCGTTCAGCATTCAGCATTCAGCCATCGTCCCACGGCTTGATCGCACCTCGCTCAGTACACTCGCGACGCGATAATACTTTTGGCTGTTTCATGGGTCAACGAGAAGTACGCGATAAATCACGGCGCTTCGAACATGACAATTCGTACTGACGAATTGCTCGCGAATCATGTGTGAAAAATCAAATATCGCGACGCTTTCAATAAGACCGAGGGAAAAAATGTCGCGTTTCACGGACAACTGCAAGCCTCGACAAGCGAGGTTCTCGTTACGCGAGAATTCTAATTTTCGGAAGAGAAACAGTAAATACGCGCATCGAATTCATGGGTTTTAATTTAAAACGAAAGCGGCTTAAATTTAATTTCGAGCGCGGCTTCAATTTAATTTCGACTGAAATGACTTCATAACCGATCATATATGCAAATTGTTAAAAATTGATGACTGATAACAGAATTTATCGTAAGCGAAATAAATGATCGCGGATTGCGCGTATAACAGCGCATTTCATGATACTTGAAATAACTAGAGGGTCACATTGAATATATAAACGATTCTATCAAATATGATTTTTATATCTTATAAACGAAATATGATAGATATTGATAGAAAAAAACTTGCTACATATTAAGAAATCAAAAAGACATAATATTGAGAGCAGATATCTTATAGAAAAAAAGAAAGTTACGCAATTTATTGCATCTATTAAGTAATAAAACTACTTAACACAAAGTGACCCCGATTATTTCGAGCATTATTATGAACGGCACAAGCATATATATGCAAAAATTTAGAAGCCACGCTGAGAGAAATAAATTGGTCAATCTCATTAAAATTATTTTCGGTGCCAACTATATTTCTCGTTGTTTTAAAAAAGTAGCAGCAACATGCACATAAGATGATAACGTTACAATAACGCTTATTACAAAATGATTTTCCTAACTAAAATTACACAATTGTGCATCATTGTGCAATTGCAATTATCAAACATCAAAAGTTTTTCTCTCAGTTTAGGTAAATCGCATTGATTTCGTGGAGAGATTTTGTGAATAATCTTTGCCGAAAAACCCACCATCCCTTACTTTTATTCATTTTTCTGACTCACCGAAATATGAGGAACTCAGGGTCGGCCACGTTTTGTTACAGATTTGGAACAAAGTATAATTTCGCTCATTAGATACTAGTTTAATGACTTAACGAGGAAAACGCACATAAACGCGAGGATATTATCCCTTTGCGATTGTTGCAAATTAATGATATCTATTCCGGAAACTACGTTCTAATTCCTACCAATAAACCTAGCTTCGAACCGACCCTGCTCGACCCGAGCCGGATTCTCCGGTACGGCAGCCACGTTCACCAAAAACACTGCATCCCCGCAGCCACCGTATGGCCGCAAGCTTCAGCAGATCTGAAACAAAAAGCAAATTTCCTGATTAGCTACGCCAATGAGCGTCCAAATGTCGATAATATTGAGAATCGAGAACGGATATTGCTCTTCTAAACTAATCAAAATGCAAAGTGAGAATCGCCATTAAGGTTACGAGGGTGTTAATCCCTTTACGACTGTTGCGACTGAACGACTTCTGTCCCCAAAATTACATTGTAATTCCCAATCACAAAAAGTTT